CTACTTCAAAGATACAAACTCAACCTGTAAAGAAACAAACCAGCCAGAATTCCCCAGACTTCTCTCCCCATGGGGTGGGGGGGCAGAGAAGAAAAGCCAAGATGGCAGTTGCAGCAGTGTGATCAAGGCCCTGCCTCCTTTACACGTGAAAAGTGGCAGGGCCCTCCTAACTTTTTTTTACCCCCACTGCAAACTGTTGATGACACTGACTGCTGGATCTGAGATGGTTAGGGTGATCTGCAGGACTAGCTTATCCCAACACGATACAGGCCCCTGACCATTTCTCCAGGGCAGGAACACACATTATCCCGTCTGTCCCATCCCATCAGGAAGGCAAATGTCTACCTGCCTTTTCATGTTCTGTGTAAAAAATGTTTTCTGGCTTGTACTGGCTCAACCAGTGCTATCCGGTGTACTTCTTCCACTTCAGTTCATCTGAATTCAATTCAATTCAGTACAGTTCAGCTTCTAAAGCCAAAGGCTTAACATTGCTGGTCTCTTTTCTCAAGTAATTTGCTAAAGAGGCAAGAGAACAAAAACAATGGAAGCAAATTTCTGCAGAGGCGGAGAGGTTGGTAGAAATATATAGGAACTGTCATTCATGTTTCATTTTTGCCTGAATCTAGCTTTTTATCCTTGTGTATTTCTATTGTAACTTTGCCATCTGTGTATGTGTGTATTCTCAAGCCAGCAACACTTCAAATGAAACTGTCCATATTTTCAACAAATAAATTTAATAGGATTTACTACTAAATTCTTCTATATAGCCCTGTAGCTGATGAAAGTTACAAGAAAATGATCTTTACTTTATTCAATGTATTGGGGGTTATTCAGAAATCATAAAGCAAAATTTCATTTATTAATATTGTAAAGGTGGACACAAAATGACAGTTGCCTTACTAGAATTACTTTAAAATCATAACCACATACATTAATATTTATTTAATAGATTTTTATCCCACCTTTATTATTTTTATATTGATATATTAATATATATCAATAATATTTGAATCCCATTCTAAGTTACATGCATTCAGTTAAACTGTAGATAAGAGCTGATTAAAAAAAAATACTTTTTACCTATTTATACGAACAGCAATTACACAACTATTACAGTTGGTGGTAACACAGTTCACTTTTTGGAGAATGAAAGTTTGAAGAATACACAGATGTAATTTGGTAATTAAAACCCGTTAACTTTCCATTCCCCTCCCCACTCAGCTACTTTTCACAGCCCTTTTGAACTAAGCATGATGTTTCTCTATTTCCTGCATTTTACTATCTAGGTTGTTTTGCTCTACCAGTTTACAGCATGGTACTTTTTTCTGCCTGCAATCTTTCCATATGTACATCTCACCACTAACATCTCACTTTTTTTTTTTAATGTTTGGGATGGAAAGCTTTATATTAAAAACTTGGCATATCATACAGTATTACAATTCTTTCTGCTTTAAGTGACTAAGTACAGGAGCAAATTACAACAGAAAACTTGCACTGATGATGTTACTTAGTTGGGTAATGAAATGTCTGCAAGCACCCAAGAACTCCACAGTTCAACCCTCAGCTATAGATAGTCTCTTCTATCAGAAAAGCCTCTTGGCAATTATTTCTCTTTTTAAATCCAGAACTTTAATGTTTGAACCACCCATCTATACTGTGCAACATATCTTTGACCAGGCAGCTGCAAGACAATAGTAGTTTTTTGACTCCTCTCTTTGTGTCTTGCGTTTCTTAAGCTTGGCTTTTAGCTTAGTGGGAGTGCTGAAAGGCAAATGTTTCCACCTCCTTCTAGCCCTTTGGATTACTAGTTCTTTGCAAGGATTATAAAAGAATAATTGCCAGTTACCAAGCAACAAGCTAGGAAGTCTCTTCTTTTATCATAAAAGATAAACCTCTATCTATGAAGATATGCTTACTTACTGCTCATCAATTTTCCTATCTTCACAATATAAAATCTGATCAGAAAGGAGAGAGAGATTACTGGACTAATGGCTAAGATGTTGTGGCTATATCCTCTTTTATGCTGTACAGAGTAGCTAAATGCATTTAGCTGGCAAGTGCTGGGATTCAGTGCACTCCCCAACTCTTCCACTGATGCCTTATGAAGCATCTTACACTTTTAAATATGTCTCTACTTGCTTGCTTGCTTCCTTCTCCAGCAATTAGGATCTCTTAAAAGGAAAGAGAGGATTTTTAACTGAATTTATTTCCCATGAATACCTCTGAGCTTCATGTGGTTGTAGATGAAGAGAAGATGGTGGGAGCTTGGAAATCAAAATTCAGAATTTTATCTTGAAGATGGTGGGAAAGATGCTTTATACTGAAGGTGTATCTTTGATGTGTTTGTCAGCTTGTATATTTTCTTTTCCAAGTTACTTTTTCACCCACTAGTATGCATTTCTGTGAAAAGAGTGTTCCGCTGGAGAAAAAAAATTGAGCACTTGTGTCTTCTAGGTTCAAATTCCTTTCACCCTGTCATTAGGGTGAGTTGTTTGCTTTTTAATCTCAGCAGTTTACCTTCTGTGAACTAGCTTTTCTGGCACAGTAGCCATTTGGTAAAATATATACTCCTGGAATTTGTGATGCTGCCCACGGCACTTTCTCAATATTTTAAAAGAACCTGCTATCCCCAAAAGATTGAAAGGTCCTGTGGGATGTCTGACAGACAAAACAAGCCATCTTAATTGAAAAAAAAAGTATCATATTGAAGAAGTTCATCATCTTGACTGAAATTCTCAGTTTTAAAGTTAATTTTCGTTTAACAGATTTTTTGGAGGCTAGTCTACATTAATTTGAATGGACACTAACATCCTCCTCGTCACACCAACAGAATGGAAATGTCCCACAGCATGGCTGAAGCCATGGTTTCCAGATGATGTTGTAGAAAGAGAGTTGTTGTGGGACAGCCGTGAGAGTTCTGCGATGCTCCTCCACAGCCTTATCTATTTTCTTTAGAATTACCTGAAACAGAGGTTCAGTGGCCCCCGACAAAGGCATGGCCTCTGATGGATCTCTTGAGAGATCAAACAGCAAAGGAGGAATGTGATGGATGACACCTTCTCCGGAACATGGACAGATTCCTCTTTCATAACAACCCCCTGCATCTTTAGGGGAGAATATTGGTGTCACATAATGAGCCTTCCATAAAGCACCACCTGTAGAAACAAAACAAAACATAAAACATACAGTATTAAAATATTTATGAAGGTAATGGGATATGAAGCATATATAGACTTATTTCATTTTGAAACTAAAATTCCTTGCCAACCCCCCAAAATGTGCATGCACATACTGTATATATCCTGTGCAAAAGCTCTTTGTCCAGGATACAAATGTGGTTTACATGTTGTACTAGTCCTCAACATGGTTTGTTTGGATTTGATTTTAGTCTTTTGAATGAAGCCTGTCATTGTCATGTGTAAACCATGGCTTCTTCAACAAATCAGAGCCAAAACAATGTGAACCCACCTATAAGATAATTATTTCACATTTGTTCTGGTCATTTTTCTCATGTACAAAGTTGTAGTAAGTTATTTACACATTAGCCTTAGGAATTACTTCGTAGGATAAAAGATTACCAGCTTTATTTGTTTCCCTCCTGTTTCTCAGTGGACTTGTTTTGTCTACAATTCTGATTGCATTCACTCCACCCCCTCCTAAATTTCGTAAAATAATTTTAGTTAGCTATAGTTAGTTATTTAATCATTATTGCTGCATTGGTGACTAAATAAATAATTCACTGGTGGTATGTAGGTACAGTATGTATTTATGGAGGGACATTTTCAAATACAGGAGAATTCTTTGTACTCACTATCTTTCTGATGCCAGCGTACTGCATGTAAATAACTCCCGCAGTAATGAAACAGGAATTCATGTTCTGAGTGTTTGACTTTTTGTTGCAATAAAGGCAGAAGATTTCTCCCATCAATTATTCTATAGTGATATAGGAAACAGAAGTCAACAAACAGTAAATAAATTAAATCCTATAAACAGGCTGACATGATCAAATCTATGTTAACAACATCCTGAAAGAAATTTAGTTTCCAATATTTTTTTCAGCATGTTGTTAATATATATATTAATAAATATATATATTTGCTTAGGTGGTGCATATATATCTTATATTGTAAAGGAAAATATTAAAAGAACAATTTTTTAAAAGAAATTGAACAGAATTTTCCTAAAAATACAAAGAATTGTTTGAAGCTGAAGAGTAATTTTCATAGTGTTTGCCATTTCAAAAATACTTGAAACATGTTGTGCAGTAGACAAAACTGTGTGTCAGTGTTCAGCAGGGGAGCAAATAATTAATTAAAATACATAAATATATAAACATTTCCAAAAAGCACAAAATGGTACAGACACAAAGAAAACAGCTTTACAATATCAGCAATATTACAAAAAAACTGCAGAAGGTGCTTACAACACATATACAGTCACATTCCATGTAACACTCATAATCCCAGTTGATGCATTAGATAGACTGGAAATTTTGTTTCTGGGTTTAAGAGATTTCAGTAAATGGCAAAGAGCAATTTTTTTAAAGTAGTACTTTAGGAAAAATATCTGGACACTGCACATTAAGACAGATTGATTTCAAAGGAGGAACAGAAGAATAAGATCATATTGTATACTTTAATAGAGAAACTATTCTAGCCTCCTCCTGCTGGATCACTTATAAACAATTTAAATTTAGGTATACCGGGTAAAAGGGAGAATACAGGCTCTGTACCTGTCCTGTGGCACATCTTTTCCAGCCAAATGAATCACCGTGGGAAAAATATCCATGAGGCTTGTCGGTTCATCAAGAACGGTATTTACTGGCAACATTCCTGGCCACCGAACCAGGCCTGGAACACGGATTCCTCCTTCCCAGCCTCCCATGCCTTTTCCCCCTAAGTTATGGACACAAGATAACTGCAGCTATTAGCAGAAACAGACAGTTATACCAAACTGGCTTGTAATTTTATATACAATTACAGCGAATTGTGTTTGATCTCATTCTGGAGATCAAGTATTAGAATTGTTGCCTGGAAAGAAGAAGCCTTCCCAAACGCCTTCAAACATTGCAAAGATTAGTATCAACCATTCAGTGAGAGACTGAAAGAGAAACTTTTGTAAGCTACTAATATGGCAACTTAAAAATTCACAACTCACTTGAGCTGAAGTGTCTGAAAATCAGTGGAAACAAATAATTATACTTCCAAATGGTCAGCTTCATCTGAGTTTCCGTTACAATTTGAATCACTTTTTACTCTTATATTTTAAACATTCATGCTTATAGTATCTATTATGCTAAAAGTCAGCAGATACAGTTCATGTAAATAGTTTGCCAAATAATTAATAGCTTCTTGAGGCCTATCTACACAGGCTATAAATAAAACAATAAATGTGTACTTTGTACATCATTGGGTATACTTATGTACCTGCTCCTGGAATACAGCCAGAAGAAGAATGACTTCCAAAATTCTAGCCAGGCAGACTGACCATTTTACCGCATTATTCACCTTTATAGATGCCATTCCAACCCCCAAACTGTATTGTTCCTTCTTGACCTTCCAGGTGGCCTCCATGGTCTGAAGCAAAGTAGATAAAAGTGCTATTTCGCAAGCCTTCCTTATCAATAGCATTAAGAATCTGACCTGCATGGAGAAAGAAAAAAAGATCCACCTTATATACAATTATACAGAATTTTGTTATTCTTATTCTTGACTAAGAAATATTCAAAGAATAACAAAAGTAATGTTTTAAATATTCATAGTGCTCGCCATACTTCCCTGAACTCACACATTATTTCCTCAAAACAATCATGTAAAATTGCCATCTTTATCTTAGATCCTAAACATTATTTGTGAATTCCAATCATGAAACACTTTCCTTTTTCTGAAGCTCAAAGGATCTATCAAATACTGCTCCTATGGGACCTTTGGATAACATTTGATAGAACACAGGAGATGGCCATTGCAGAGAGAAATTATCAGTAATCAGAAAATCCCTCCCTGTGTGAAACTGTCTTCTGATCACATAACTGTTCTTGTAAGCCTTGAAGCTGGCAAACATCAGGCTAAGGCCAGACGAAACACAGAACAGATGTCAATCTTCAAAGTTGAGAATCCAACAGCCAGGAATCTGTTGATTTTAAAATATGGGAGAAAAAAGCCTAGGAATGAAACCCTGGATCTGAAATGTCCCTGATCTAGCTGTGCAATATCTTCTGCAGGTAGCTACTGAATGCATAGTTGGGTAGAGATGTATTGCGATAGGTTTGGAGTGAAGTCTGACAGTCCACTGTGAAACTGTTCCTAGTCACCCAACTCTTCTCTAAGGTCATGCGTGACAAAGCCTAATAGATTTTTATAACCCTTGAGGCTGTGTTAGATGGTGTCATAACACGGGGGGAATTACTACATTTAACATAGGTACAGTTAAGGAAGAATTAAGCCTGTCATGTTTGTGCTCTGCTTCGATGCAACTGGAGACCTAGCTTGAGGAAATGATCACACCTCATCTGGCCAGTAAAACGCTGCAGAAATCTTGGCTACCTATTCATATGATGCTTCTTAGACTAGATTCAATCTATATACAGTATGCACAGTGTGTGTGTGTTTAAGAGGTTGATTACTCATTAGACGTGCACACAACTGAAGCAGAACAGATGAACGAAGTCTAGATTGTAATAGCAGCATTCACCTTCTTGTATGTGGTACTATTCAGGAAACTTTCTATCCTGCCCACAACCTTAAGAGGACATTTCTATTCCATTAGGAAAGAAACAAACTGCAGGACTGAGACAGAACATTATAACACACCCAAGTACACTGTAAAATTTAAGTATATAAAATGACACAATCCCACCTCCCAACCACAAAAAGGGCAGCCCACTTCCAGTTATTTACTTTTTCTTCTAACTGTTCAGAAATAAGTTAAGAATTCTGGACAATATTGCTGTCCAAAAAAGGAGATAACCAAAGGGTAGACAACTATGTTATGGTAGATTAACCATATTGCAATCCTTCTTGAGAATGGTTTAACTCTGTTCTATAGCAAGAGAAGCAACTCACCTACTAACCAGTCCAGTTCTTCTACATGGTCTCCATACAGACCATGTTTGCTTTTTCCAAGAAATTTTTCAGTTGTGAACAGAGGTGTATGGACATGCAGAAATGAAACAAACAGGAGAAATGGCTTGTGTTTCTTGCTTAAAGAAACAAATAAAATGATCACATTTAGGTTCCATTTATTAACTTTCAATACTTTTCATGTTTGATATTTCAGCAGATCTATTTATTACCTCTGAATAAATGAAAGTGCTTCCTTTAGTAAAAGAAAAGTTGTTCTTTCCAATTTCATAGGTTGTTCAGTAATGTTGTAATTGCGCATCAAGATACAGTTCCAGTATTTCACAAAGCCATAGCTGGAGTACCAGGAAGCAAAAAATAGGAAATCAAACAAAGCAAAGAAGATGACCACTTTCCAAGGAATGGACACCAACCCACTCATTTTTCCAATGAGAAACGTGAATACTGCAAAGGCAATGAGTTGAGTATAAAACCACAGCTTAGCCTGAAAGGCTCTATCAAGTTCTGGAGGTTTGTTGTCCTGACAGTTGTTGAGAAGTGTGAAGGGCATGCCATAAAAATAATCAAAGCCATGATTCAAAGGATGGTGGCAATAATCATTGATAGTATCACAGTTTACGCCTTGATGCCATTTCCCTGAAAAACAAAGTAAAAAGTATTACTTAGTCTGAATTTATTTTCACCATACTTTTGGAGAAACTCAGAACACAGTACTCCAAAAATGTTCCCCAACTCCATTTAAATCAGGGCTAAATTAAAAAAGACAGAGACTATGCTCTTGAACAAATTACTTCCCTATTATTCTTTAACAATAATCTAAACCTACTGTGTTACTTTTTATATAACTTTTTACAAAGAAAGTATATTGGAAACTATCGGGAAATTTGATGATCCTGTGGTTCACAGATACAACTAAGAGTGAATGCCTTCCACTGTCCACTTCTAAAGGATATACTCGTGCTTATGAGGAGAACATGAATATAAAGTCAAGACTGACAAGACTTGAGAGGATATATACTTTTAGGAGTTCTATGTCAAATAACAGCCAATGTGAAATCTAATGATTTTAGATTAATTCCAAATTTAAATCAGTTACCAGGCAGTTTCTTTTAATTCCTCAGAATTTTGTTAGGATTTAACAAACCCTCTTACAAAATATCTCGTATTACTATGCCACCAGAAGAAAAAATGTAATTATCATTATACATTTGTGCATTAATCAATTTAATTTGGATTGGTATCGTTCCATACACATCTATTTTTATCCTCTGATAAAAGCTTCTCTAAAATACATAAGAAACTACATCTGTTCTCTTTCTCTGTCTGTCCCTGTGTCTCTTTTTTCTCTATTTTTGTTGAAACATGAGCATGCCTAAATGACTAAATTGTAGAATTTAGGCTTGTTCCTTACAATGCTCATATCCATACATGTGAAACTTGAAGTTGTCTTACCACTATGCTTCTGGCCAGTTATGTTATTCTATTACTCTGCTGCAGAGTAGTCAATGGAATTATGTACATCTTGCCTTATGCTAACTTAGATCATTAAGGTGTTTGGACCCAGAAGTTCATGCAAGTTTTATGGAAGCAAACATACAATTCATCACAATACTCATCTGTTTCAGAGAGGAAAAACTACATTAATAGTTTGAAACAAAGTTTTTACAGGTCTTAAATTAAATAGATATAATTTGCAGACAGCAGGTATGGATACTTCTACCTCATAGAGGTGCTCAAATAACAAATCGTTTGTTTTAATAAAAGTTCTGAAGAGACCTATTTATAAAAAGAATAATAGCCTATTGCATTACAATTATACAAAGAAGATGGGTACAGGGATAAGGAAGGAATATTTGCAAATATCCAGAAAACCACAAATCAAGGTTTATCAGGAGTGATTGAATAAATGCAGAACTCCCATAACTTCTAAAGAAGGTGGGAACATCTGAAGCTATTAAAGGAATGTCGGCATATGTTAGTTTGGGTAAGAATTTCTTTTCAGAACCAAAAAATTAACAAGAAAATATGTAGAGACATACTTATTGGAATTTCATGGAACTTCAGCCACAACACTTGAATGTTAGGAGGGATGAAGTTGTGAGTTTTGAGCATTACAATGTAGTGTTTTCAGTTGACAGTAGGGCAATGTTTAAGGAAATCTATGTGAATAACACCATCTGTATCCCAAAAAACTGTACCCGTGAATTTTCTTGCTGAAACCTGTGTTTTGATTTTTTTTTTTGCAGATGACGTTTTGTGATGATATTCTATGGATTGAAGCTTCATTTCTGGGTCATAATGATGATTCCATGTTTCATTGGCTGAAAAATTCCTCATTTTATTCTAATGACAAGAATTGCTAGCAAATTTCAACTCTTGAGGCTTTCATCTTTTCCAGTGGCATATTGAACCCCTTGGAACCCATCTTGTACAATCCTCCCAATATTGAGGAACATCAATAATGTGGCCCACAGGTTCCTATGAAATGCCAAGCTTGGCAGCAATTCCCCTTTGCATGATCCCCTAATTATCCTTAAACAGTTCATCTACTTTTTGCATATGAAATTCATCAGCTGCTATCACAGGTCATCTTTGCTCTTGATCACACATATCAGCTGTCTCTAATCTACCACCTTTGTATTTTTTGGCCCAGTGATTCACAGTACTTATGTCAACACAGTCATCACCAAAAATAACCTGTATTCAGTGGTGAATTTCATTTGAAGGGACTCCTTTGGCAGTCAAAAATTTAATCGTGCTGCATTACTTAAAATACACTGAGTACTCACTGTAGGCTTTTACTACACAAACAATAGCAACAGAACCTTTTTTCACAGTAATGTCTTGCCAAGTAAAATAAAAGAACATATGCAAACAAACACATCAGAGCATCCAGTGTATCAATATTGCCAATTGTTGATGATTTATAACTTTGGAGACATTACTTTTATTTAACCCTTGTAGAACGTAAAAAATAATCAGATGTCAAGACTAATAAAACTGTGTTTTACATGTACCTTAACTGTAATCTCTCTCTCTCTCTCCCTTTTTCTTTCTGTGTCTCTGAAAACTGATAACTGGAGACTCAAAGAACGATGTATACCAGAAATTCATAACTGAACTTATCTTCCCATATGAAAAATCCATTCCTAGTTAGGTAACACTATACTATGTCTGCAGATGTAAATGTACTTGTTTATTCACTTTCCCTTTTTTCACACCTTATGTTCCAATCCAAACAAAGATCTTTTGAAGAAATAGTGTCACAGCAGAAATATAACCACACGTGCAGAAAGTGGCACATTTTTAATCTTACCATAATCTCTAAAAATAATTGAACAAAGCCTCAGCTTTTACTGTGACGTATGCTAGACTCTTCAAACAAATACATTCCGTGAGCTACTCTCCTGAATCTCATGAGATAATTGGACTAGGCCCACCACATTATATTAAAGACTCCTCTATTCTGTAGGTCTTCGAATGAAAAAATAAATAAATAAAGGTAGGCGTGGAGAAATATTTGCATTTCCTGATACAGTAATGTTTTATCTGATGCACAGATTCTGCATCTAAGGCTTAGTATTTGTTTTTGTACCCAGATCTTCAGTATAGAGATTAGTAACTTTCTACAAACCTATAAGGCCCGTGGCATAGCCTTGCTGATGCAACACCTTGGCAAAAGTCGTCTCATTGCGTGGCAATCCTCCTGATCCAGCATTCCACTGCAGAGCCCGATAGGCATTTGTTGAAGCCATGCCTGCAAAGACAAATTCCTTTTCCCTGTAACCTGTCACAGAACGGTGTTGCCATTTCCTAATGAGGCCAAATCCCGATAAAATACACATACTGTATATCCAGCTTTACAAATTCAGTGGGCGAATGTACTCATGGAACTCCCCATTTACTCAGGGCTTCTGCATATATTATACTCTGTAATAAGCAGAAGCTCAAAGCACACCAAGATGGGAAAGCATAAGATATGATTGCCCTTTAAAATAAAAGTGGAAATCTGAAATGTTAAATGTTGAATGTCTTCATGATATTTATGCTTTGTTCACTCTACTGACTGCAGCAACATGTGGAGGCGAAACAGTAAATTTGCGTGGGATTTATCAGTTACTGAGAACAAAGTACAAGTACAGTATTTGCATTGTTTTTTCTCAATATCTGTTATGTATAATTGGTGTATGGGGGAAAAACACATCCTATAACATTTGCAAATTATTACAAGTGATCCAGATGGAACACAAATCTTAGATCAGACTGCAAAATCAGTAGACCAACCTTCTCCATGCTGGCATCTTTCAGATTAATTAGGACAATAACTCCCAGAGTTGTCAACCAAAATGAACAGACCCCAGCTAATGCCCACGCTGGTTTACAAATTAGGGAATTATAATCCTATTGCCTCTGGTGAAAATTGATGGAGATGTTCTTGGAAGGAATGCTAGGTAAAAGGTACAGTCAAGGAGAAAGAAAAACTGCATATAGATGGACTATAAAATCACAGTTAAAAGGACCTATTTAAATACCAAGTCCAATCCCCCGTGTAGGAATCTTGAAAGTCCAAGTTACTTTCTGATCCCATTTTCTACTAAACAAAATCAAGGTGGGATTATTTTGAGTTTCTTTCTCACATTTGCCTTCAATCTCTGGACTGTGTAATCACTTGTTCAAGTCCCTCCTCAATGGTTCTTTCATAACTTCCCTTAGGCTGTCTCTAAATTCCTTTACAAGAAATGAGGAGAAGAAGGAATCATAGGAAGTGTGGGCTGGCTGGCACCCATTCACTAGCACCAGATCCTTATGGTCACATTTTCACCATAATCCAATTATTTGGACAAGACAGGGGTCACTTGAAGCTGAGAAAGAGAGAAAGATCCTATATTTCCACTCCCAGCTCCTCCTACCCCTCCCCTGATCTGCCCAGTACAATAAAATACGTTGACTGCTGTAGAAAAGCAGAAATCAGTGACAATAGCAGCTATTAACTTCTTAAAACTTGCATTCTTTACATTCCTTTTTCTATTAATGAGCAGATGTCTAAGACTGCATATGTACTAGGCATATGCAATATGTAGCGTAGTGGCAGATCACAGCACTGCGTAACTTAAATTATGAATGGCTCTAAATTATATTATCACTTGCATCGGCTGGTGGTTTATTGCTGAACCAATATACTTTTGACCTTAACAATAATTGAGAATTGAAGATCAGGGTACCCAAAGGACCATGTAAGAGACAGCCAAAGAAATACATGCCACAGAACTAAAATAATCATGCAAAAGCCGCACCACATTGCAAGGATTAACATTTTAGAGGTTGAATGAAATTATTTTAAAAGGCTAGGCTCCCTAAAGATTTTAGGAATGTTGCCAGGCAGGGTTTTCTTAGGAATGCATTCTACCAGCAAGGACATTAATGAACATTAAAGGATGTTCTCCCTCATAGTGTCTGCAAGTATCAATGTTGTTATCTTAGTCCTTATGCATCAAATACCATTCATTTTCCCAGTTATGGAAAGGTTATGGTAGCCCCGTTCCTTAAATCCTTTACCATCTTTTGGTTTATGTGATTTTATTCATCCAACTCTGTGTTCCAAAAACAGCCTACCTGATCTGATGGGGTATCTGCCAGTCAGAAAAGCTGTTCTGCTGGGGGTACAAAGTGAGGCTGCTGCAATATGCTGAGTAAGTTTCACTCCTTCCTTAGCTAGCTGGTCGATGTTAGGGGTCCTACAATAAAAGTATGAAATGTTAATTTAAGTAGGTAGCTAAGAAGGAACTAGCAGTAGAAAAAGAAGTAAAAACAATGAATTACCAACCCTATCATAATGTACTTTCAACCATACACAGAGCTGCTTCTGGCTCTTGGAAACTGTGTCTATCTATGTGGGGTTGGTCCACTGATTGCTAGATTAAAATATCTATACTTCTGCTGTCTAAATCTTAAAGACATCACATATATATTCCTTGGGAAGGAAGGGTCTCTAAGGTATAGCATAGATTTCTCCTCTTATGGAGTGCAAAGTCTATGGCTGAAGAAGCACACTGCCCTTGGAAACATTCTCCATATGGCAGCATCTACCTGCATCACCATTCACAGCTCTGAGGGCAGAAAGAGGGGAAAAAATGTATTGGGGGAGGGGGTTGGTTGGAAAGATCCAGAGTATGCTTGTTCTCAAGACTAAAACAAATAACATCAGCCTATTAAGGACAACGGAGGAAAAAAGCAATACAAAAGAAAATAAAAAAGAGTAGAAGAATACTGTTCCACTTTGGTGAGTGTCTGCTCCAAATTGCTTTCATCTCCTACCATTCAAGGAAGGCCCTAAGTCAGAGCACATAAAAAATGGCCTGAAACTGTTCTAGATTTGCCCTAAAATTACAGATTAAAAACAACCCCTTTTTTTTTTTTTTACATTTCCTAAAGACAGTGTTTCAAGGGAGATTTTAAAGACTGGGCTATACATCTTGCTAAGTCATAACAGTAGATCCAGTAGATACAAGTAAAATAAAATATCTAGATAGAATTGCCAAAGTTGTTTGTTTGTTAAATTTATATGGCCACCCATCTCACCTGAAGTGACTCTGGGTGGTATACAATAAAACACACTGCCAAACTGTTTAACCAGCTTTAAAATAATATAAAAGTAATCTGAGAATACCTTACTTGATAGTACTGTTACCATAACAGCCTATATCTCCAATTCCAAGATCATCAGCCAACATCAAAACGATATTCGGCTTAGAATCAAGAGCTGCATTCACTCTACAGGTATGAAGCAATATAAGTAAAGCCAACAGGGTCACTAGATAGATTCTGAAACCAAAATTAAGGAAACAGTGATTAATATTTGTAAGAAGATGTCAAGATAGACACACATGCACACACACACACACACACACACACTCTAGAGAGTAAGTAACATGAGAATTTAGTTTTTGGCAAACTAAAATTTATTATAACTGATTAGTACTATTAGGTGATAGCTAGAATGACAGTTTCAAGATAACAGATGATAAATACTGGATCCTTGCATTTGCAGATAATACTTTATTAAAAACCATATAATTCTTTTGAAATATTTTGTGTATCTGAAATATAGTAAGGTGCCCATATTTAGGATCAAATTAATTTTGTAATATTTTTATAACTGACTTTTAGCAACATGAATGTTTGTCAAACAAGCAAGGTCCATGTGCTTGTTCACTTTAACTTTATTTTTCTCTCTCTAATTTTTGCTTATTTTGCTTAGATTCATCATGGTTTTACATCACAATGCAACGTAAAACTTTCCACAGCCTCAGCACAATAGGCATCCCTTAAAGCATGGATGAAGAAGTTTGAAAGCAAGGGAGGCCAACCAATGCAATGTGATTAACACCCACCCCCCACCACTTTATCCTAGAGCAGTGTTGTCCAAACTTGGCCACTTTAAGATGAGTGGACTTCATGGCTGGCTGGGGAATTCTGT